TTCCTCACGTCCATCCTGACGCATTCTTGTCTCCACCGCTCGTTCCCGGCTGATGAAATGCGCGCGGCACCTCCCCACGCGACTTTGATGACACCCACTTAGCTGTGCCCCGTTCCACCACCCCCGTCCGGCTGATGGTTGCGCGCCACCTCCGCGCGACGTAATATGCTACTCCCCCCGCTCCTATGACGAGGCAGAACAGCCACGGCCCCTCCGTCCGTGCTGGGTTTGCGCGCCACCTCCGCGCGCCTTATAATGCTGCCCCCCCCGTTCCGACGACGAGGCAAAGCAGCCACGGCCCCTCCGTCCGTGCTGTGGTCAAAAAACGCCGCCCGCTCCCGCGTGATCGGCGCCCACCCCCCGACGCGCCGTCGCGCGTGTCAACCGTGGTAGGGCGTACCCGGCCTCTACTGCCGGCCTTGGATCGACTTAACAAAACACCGCCAGCATCAAGCATGTACGGCGCCCACCCCCCCCCGCGCCGTCGCGCGGTCGATCCATGGTTGAGTGTCTCCGGCAATCCTGCCCAACGGTCTCTCTACCGTCCTGGTGCTCCACCGCCTTACCGCAGATGGAATGCGCGCCAAAACTGCGCGACTTCACGGCCCCTCCGTCCGGTCTGTTGCGCCGATTACTCTAGCGCCTTTCATGTTGATCCACCGCCTTACCGCCGATGGAGTGCGCGCCAAAACTGCGCGACTTCACGGCCCCTCCGTCCGTTCTGTTGCGCCATCAATTCCGGCGACTTCTGTGCGCCCCGCCCGCTACTACAGCAAGGCAGAACAGTGGACACGACCCTTCCGCCGTGCCGCATTCTCCACCCGACCTCCCCTGAATGGATTGATCGGTTGCTGTGACACTCTCACCAGTGTCTCCAGCGGCAGCAGACTGCTGTACGCAAGCACTGCCTAACGTACTACGAAGAGAGTTGGTGTCTTGGAATGCACCAAACCCACCTGCAGCAGGGACCTCCACATCCCGCACCAGGGCGCCTTCCACGCCCGGCCTACTGCTGCTCTCTCCTCCAGCAGTGTCGCCCTCCCTGACGACCACCGCAGGATACAGCTCTCGGTGGCTGCTCGGCGGAACCCCCAATTCCGCCGCACCCGCGGCGCCCTCTTGCAGCGCCGCCGACCCCTCCTGGCCTTGCCCGTCCGACTCGGCCTGCAGTAGCGATTGCAGCACGCCCATCATCTCCTGCACCTCTGTCATCTCTACTCGTTCAGTTTCTGCTCCGTTCCAGTCAGAAAGCGTCCAGTTCAGAGTTGCGTACCCTGGCTGCTGGAACCCCGCTGCCTCTCGCT